GCAAGAACCAATCCTGACCACTGGTTGAAGATCAGTGGATCGATCATGGCTACTAACCATGGATGGTAGCTGCGTTATTTTCCGGAGATTCTCACCTTCAGGCATCTTGTCCTGTCAGTTATTACTAAAAGTCAGACACTTAAGCTGCACTACATACCCCTACTATGACCAACGGCCCATTGTGCTATGTGAATTGCCCAGCTTCCAAGTACTGCGTGACTGCCATGGAAAGACATAAGTTAAGGCGCTTGTATAAATTTGGAAAGTTAAGATTCGGTAGCGTGAACTCAGAACTCTCCCCTGCATATGCAACGAACCAGGTGTTCAATGATCGAAACCTTCAACGTGGGAAGAACGTGGCGAATCCATATACCGTTAGGTCAGATCGGCTAATTATCCATCAAGTTGGAGGGATTCTGAGCTTGAGCCTCGTGTGTGTGGGCGCTGATCACCACCCGGAGTCGTCGTTTTACGCCACCGAACACATAAGCTCGGAGTCTAAATGTATGTACATTGCGTCTTAGTCCCACTCCAACCAACCAGTCTCCTCCTGTTGTTGAGTGGGTTATCGGAAGGGAGAGTTGACATTGTGATGGAACTGGCGCTAGCACACCTACCAAGGGACTATTGGTTTTTGGACTGCAATAGACCCGGATTATAAGCCTCTGGTGCTAACAATTTCGGCCCCACTTTCATAGGCTTGAGAGAAGCATAATTTGCAATGCAGGATAGTCCAGGCCGTGCTATTTCTCCTAGAGTTTCTAAAGTACCAAAGTATGTGGGCGTCGATGCGAAGATTAGATACTTATCAAAGAGCGAGATCTGTCTTCACCACTAGTGGTTGAATGTCGCAGGCAAACTTAGAATTTTAAGGTGGGACTCAATGGGGGGTGGGGGATGTGAGATACCAGTAGAGAAACTCTTCCTACTCGATATAATTATATGCAGAAATAAAACAAGCACATACGACCACAGGGTGTGGAGAACAGGGCTTCCCGTCCGCTCAGCCGTACTTAAGCCACCTATTGAACGCGGACGACTTGGAAATGAGCCCTTTGAAAGTTGCTGCTTTACGGGTGAGCGCCGCCAAGTCACAGGGTGAGTGTGGGTGATTTGGGTGATGTTGTCCGGAGCGCGGGTGAGGGAGTGGGTGAGCTGGGGTGAGCTGGGTGAGCGAGTGGGTGAGCTAGACAATCCGGTCGGATTTTTGTGAAGTTAAATAGGGGCGCCCAACCTGTTTATCCATCACATTTTTCACCTCTTCGAGTTACATATTTTCAAGAAACAGCTTCAAGTGCGATCATATACAAAAATAAGCCATGTCACGTGATAGAGACGCAGTGCTATCCGAGGAAAGGCGGAGAAAGGTTGATGAGCTCCATAAGCTTGGTAAATTACGTGGTTTTACCAGAGAGTACCAGCGTGATACAAAAAAGAAAGAGAATGAGATATACCATAAAAAGAGAGCTCCAGCTACTGATAAAAGGTATAACAGAGCTGTTGAAAATTGGAAATTGTACGTGATCAAAAATATGCTATTATTCTATTCAGGAGACATTTCTAATTCAAGTCTAGATAGATAATGACTTAAAATGAACCTGAAGATAGGTATTTCTTAAAGCTGGAGCCCGATCCTCCCAGTTAGATCTTGAAACTCTTTTCTGAGAGTTTTATCTATCTACGTGAAGGGGATGTGCCTTCTCAACACAGTGTGGACTATAATCTATCCTGCTTTATTGCCGAATGGGAAAGAAAAACCGGTAGAGTTATCCCCAAGAGTATCAAAAGTGATGTCTATAATGTGCGCTATGAACATATTCCCTTTCTGATATATAAATGCTTATCTATTTATCAAGTTTATCCACAATGTATTGACGCCGAAGTATGGACTTGAAACAAAGCATAGAGAAAAATTCCATGTTACAGCAACAGATCTTGATCTTCTTCTTAAACGCTTGTTTTAAAATGATGATTATAATTATATTTATAAACGGGCTCGTTTTCAAGATATATTCGTTTTTTCCCTGTTTTTGGCTTCCGGAGCTAGAGCCGGGACTATTATTAAATTAAGTTTATATAGAAATACTAATAAATGTCTTTTCTATAAGGTATATTAATCTACTAATTATACAAATCGTATACAAGAAGTTAACTGCTCTTATAAAAAGTATATTACGTTTAACATTTAATATAAGGATAACAAGATCAAGCGATGGGTTACTATAGATCTAGAATTTGTTGAGGGTCATCGGTATAGCGATGAAACAGTTATGTAAGTCTCTACTTTAAGGTATCACTCCTGCTTAAGCTGATAGCCCTAGCCCAAAGAACTGGATCATAGAGTAAAAGGTCCTTGGCAGGAACTTTATCTTTTATGTTATGGCTGCAGGCATAGCCGATCAAGCTTTCAAAGGCATCCGTAGTATTGATGACTTGCTATCAAAGACCCTACCCAAGAGAAGGGAATCTTGGACTCTAGAATAGGAGGATTATGTATAACAACTACCAGTTCTTCGCATGGTTACCCCAAATAGGCCACATCCCACTCGTGCCCTGATATTTTCCTCAATCCGGAATGATTTAAGTTCTCTTGCCTAACGAGAACATTTTCGAGACCCGCTGAGAATTTATGAGATAAGAGGCCGGGTAGCAACTACAATTGATAGTATGTTCTCTCCCTGCGCATAACATTGTATTATATTAATTATGTCACAGTAAATAAATCCCAGGCTATCCGCAGCCAGGCATTAGATTATGTAAACCTGGATACTTACCTTAAATACCAATCGAAGTTCAAACGCACCGATATCCAAGCCTATTTTTAGAACATAGAACCCAACTATAAATGTCTCGATATAAAAGAAAGTATGGTTTATCATCGTGATCTTAATACTCTCCAAAAGCTTGATACTGCTGCTGTTGCTAAGTTTGAAAATAATAAAGAAATAAGAGATTTATATACAGAGATTGAAATCTTGACAAAGAAGATTAATGGAAAGCCAAACGAATACCAGGATTTTATATGTAAACGTAAGAAATTATATAATAGAGTAGCCAAAAAGCGGTGTAGCAAGACCAAAGAGTTTATTTAGCATTGGTGGAAAAGTTCCTACGATAAATATATTACAGGAAAGGATTTCACGGAGCGAGACTTAATATGTCTATTTTTAATCTATCGCAAATATATGCTAGAGCGAGATTAGCTACGAGATCACTTATTTACTAAAGTGATAATTGACAGCGAAACTGGAAGACAGTGTATGCTAGATATAGTGGCTATTTGCGTATTAGGAGAGAGAGTAGTATACTATTCTAGTGAATTACCGGTTAATGGAAGATACCCTATATATTCAAAAGATATGTTAAGGTTTGTTGCTAATGCTTCTACCAATACTAAAATACTAAGGTCTCTAGTATCGAAATGCAAAGTCGCTCTAAGTATATACTCTAATATAAAAGAAAATCTCTCAATGCTGCACTATATCAACAACTATACAAGAATAGGAAGAGAGCCCATCGTCGTGCTGACCGGGTATTTTTAGAATGGTGCTTTTTGTGTGCTAAGTGGTTCTACAATAAGACTAATTGGCAAAAGCATTGTTACTCTTATTTAAAGAATCTTTAGCTGCGTTGTAGTCTATTGAGATTTCGTTACATATTAGTGTTACCCGGGTTTTGCCCTTTTTATCTGGGTAATTAGAGCATGCAGCCCGAGCATCGATTCAAGCAATAGCATAAAAAGGCCACCCTAATTAATTATATCGACATTAAACACTTAGTAAATATGAGCGAGGAAAAGCCGATTCTATGTCCTCACCCATGTTGTAAGGGTAAGATATATCCCTCTGCTTTGGATCTTCGACAATATTTTTATAATATTTACTTAATTGAAGAGCCACGTCGCAACTATGTTTCCTGGAAAAGGAAATGGATACATGGCTCCGGAATTGACACGGAACAAAAGACAAAGAAAGTATTGTTGGACCAGAATAACAAAAAGGTTGTCTTCTTAGACACTCCGCAAGAACCTTCCACCATGTTGCCACCGCCAAAATTAATTGCTAGCAGCCCCCCTAAGACCGGCCTTGCAGAATAGGGGTATTATAATTCAGAGACCGCTTTATGACAAATACGTAGGAAATGAACTGTACACATTACCCTTGTACGATAAAGTTGTCATAGGTAGATATGAAATGCTATGGCTCACTATCAATTACCGGATGAAACCAGACTGAGAATACTACAAGAAAAGAAAGAGAACCTAAGTAGTTGGCTGCAGTCTATTATCAGGCTTGTAGCGTCAGTGTTCGATATTTATGAGGTAAGAGTTTTCGTAAAAGATATCTTAGCTGACTTGTCAGTAATTGCCAACTCTCTGACTAAATTTAGGTTAAATGGTGTCCTTATACGACCCAGTCTCAAATACAAGCAGCTTACAACGAGAGTATCTATTTCACTTGAAAATAAGTCGCTATTGCTACAACGCGCGCAAATTTTGGGGAGTGCAAAGAGGCCCCAAAGTAAGTCTACGACAGTAAAGCGGAAAGGAAAAGGAATAGAGGAAAGTTGTTAAAGACACTGTGAGGTATTCGAGGTCGCCCAAAAGCGCAAGGTTGAGAGAAGTAGAGAGATCAATACCCAAAAAGATGAATATAGGTGTTATAGACTCCAGAAACTGGATCGTGGCTATTATTAATGGCGGCAACTGAGAGTTGATCGGAATGCAGCTGGTCCGTGGCAAAATCCAGAGCAGGGCTAAGCAATACTATAATCATAGAAAAATATATTTTATTTTCTCTCTCAGCTCAAGGGAGTCCACATGAGGCTAACAGAAACATTCGGATCCAGTCCTCTGGCATCGAGCAGCAAGCGGACTATGGATCTGTCCCCGTTCTGGACGGCGTGGTGAAGGGACGTAGAGCGATCCGAACCCACCACGTTCACATCGACCTAGTCCTCGGCCAGCAGCCGCCGGGCTATCCAGCGCTGACGAGACCGAGTCACCCACCAAAGCGGGGGGTGGACCCATCCTTGTCCCTGGCATTGATCTCTATATTCGGCTCGGCTAGAAGCAACTTCACTACGAACAGATGTCCTCCGATCACGGCTTCATGTAAAACCGTGGACCTGTGCCGGTCCCGGGCGTGCAAGTTGATACACTCTTGATTGAGAAGCCGCTGAACGACACGATCGTGCCCCTTCGCTGCCGCCAGGTGCAATGGTGTTCTGCCCTCTCCATCGGTAACGTTCACGTCCGGTCCACGATCCAGCAGCAACTTGGCGATTTCCGCATTCCCGGTGCGGGCGGCAATACACAGTGGCGGCTGGCCTTCATGGGCGCCACCGCCCTCCGTCACCAGTGCCACAGATATCGTGGCTGAGCGACTCAGGAGCATTTTGACTATAGATGCATGCCCCTTCTCGATGGCTTGGTGGAGAGGTGTCATTCCGAACATGTCAGCAGCAGTGATGTCGCCTCCAGAATGGAGGAGTAGCTGGACCGTTTCCTCGTTGCCATGGGAGACTGCATACCAAAGTGCAGTTCGGTCGTCATCATCCTGTGCGTTGACATGAACTCCAGGATGGGTGAGCAGGGTCCGTACCAACGGCACAAGATTCTTCGACACAGCATATATCAGCGGAGTACGTCCGCGGGCGTCCTCTCAGGTAAGATCAATACGTTCATCCTCCAGTAGCATCACCGTAGTCTTCTGGTCTCGGATACGAATGGCATGGAAAACCGGTGTTCGGTCTAGTTTGTCTCTGGCATTGATATCTACCCGGCCCGTCGCCAGGAGGTGCTGGACAATGTTCAGGTGTCCCTTGGCCACGGCTGCCGCCAGCGGTGTCAGTCCATACTCCACGTCCGAGCAATCGGCCTTGATTCCGTCATGCCGAAGCAATTGCTCGACGATTGTAGCATGCCCGCGGAGCGCTGCACACCACAATGCACACTGTCCTTGTTGGTTCTGGAAGCAGCACTCCCGGGCAAACATACCCGACAGCTGTATGATCGACTATCATGGAAAGAGGCGAGCGTGCTGGCTCAACTCTGGACTGGTATGGCAAGACTAAATGGGTACCTCTACCGAATCAATGCTGCGCAGACAGATCAATGTACATGTGGACAAGCAAGAAAGACCGTAGAGCACTTCCTCTTTTGATGTCAGAAATGGACGGCACACCGGACCAAAATGCTGCAATGCACTAACACCCACCGAGGCAACATATCCTTCTTCCTGGGAGGAAAGTCACGATCAAATGATCAAAGCTGGGTCCCAAACTTCGAAGCAGTACGGGCATCGATATGGTTTGCAATCGCCACGGGCCGACTCGACGCCGCGTGACCCTATAGACGAACACCAATCACCTCGTGGCAGACACGGTAGACGCGCTTCAACTGCCGAGAATAGGATGTTGAACACTTGAAGAAGCGCCTTCAAGCCAAGCCTACTAACAAACTTACTAACCCACGAGAATCCGCCACGGTACTGACAGATGAGATGACATATACTAAAAGCAACTATGTATGGGCTCTAAGGAGACACGGAATATATTAGGACATGTATTAGTAGATTAGTGATAGTTGCCCTTTCGGCTTAGCCGCCGGACGTTAATAAATTGTGTGTGTAGAAAGAAGACTAGAGTGGGTCACTTATATTTATTTGGGGAGCGATTGGCCATTGGCCATTACTTTGGACTACTCAACACTGATCAACTGGCTCCTATTTTATCTTGCTATCAAGGGCTTCAACCAAGATAATGTTTCAAATATTGTTATTTGGCTGGCGTCCATATCGCCCGTGCCTATTCAAACGACGATGTCTTTGATTTCAACTTCATCAACTCCAATAATACCTCGTCGCGGTCCCTCTGAAGGGATTCTATATCAAGTTTCCCGATCGTTTCCTGCACTTTAACATCTAGGATGTTGATTGTCTCGGGATTGAGATCAAATGCGTGCTTTTGCATGTCTTCCGTCCAGACCTTTGCTGCGGTGCCAATATGCTCCAGAAGATGTTTAAAGTTTCCTCCTCCGGCGAGAATGTTGGTCACGAAAGGTCCGGTCATAGACCACCGAAGGCCAGGACCAGCTGTGATACAAGTGTCTGTATTTTGCATTAGTTAAGGCAGAAACTCCAGCTCATCTTCAGTGACTTACCGAGGTCTGCCGCTGACACGATATCTCGGGTGACTAGACTGTACGCCTCATTGTACAGAGCCTTCTGCAGCCGATTGGCAATGAATCCCGGTGTCTCTTTCTTGATCAAAATGGGTTTCTTTCCCAGTGAACGATAGAAGTCGACTGCGTTTGTTATATAGGGCTCCTCTGCTCCTGGGTGAGGCACTACCTCGACCAAAGGCACCATATGTGGTGGATTGAAAGGGTGGCCAATCATTATCCGGCCGGGGTTGTACTTGCAGTCCGTAACGAATTGTGAGGAGGGTATGCCCGATGATGATGATAGGAGGAGGGCATCTCTTGGGGCCTTGGCATCAAGCTCGGCGAAAAGCTGACGCTTGAAATCCACTCGCTCAGGGCCGGTCTATGTTTCTCTTCCATTAGCATCAACTGCGTTCTACCCACTTGGTTTGGGTGTCCGTGCACAGGATCCCTAAGATACCATAGGAAATCATCTTGTACCAGACTTAGAGATTAAGGGGGTTATATGAAGTTTGTGAGTAAGAGAAACATACCTCTTGCACCAATTCAATTTCGTGAAGGTGATCGAAGATGTTGTTGACGAATTGGTAATTAGCGAGCGATGCTCCCTCGTGAAGCCCAGCTCACTCCATCGTGGACCATTCCTGGTAGAGATATGCGGCCAATCTTTCCCGAGCGCCCACTGCCGGATCTGTCACAATAACCTTGAGCCCTCTCGAAAGAAAGAAGAGGGTCCAACTGGCGCCAATGACACCCGTGCCGATGACACCCACGGTTGTAATAGAAGGACCAGCCATATTGGGTAATTGAGAGAGTGGTACGGTTGTGGGGAGGCGTATATGTGAAGGAACAATTAGAAAAACCTGCTAGGTGTAGAAGGATACCCAAACAAGAAGATTGGGTTTGGTTATCTCACGATAATTGCATATAAATTACTGTGAAAGGGCATATCGTGCTTGCGAATGGCAAGAGATTTATATAGGCTATCACCGGTTCCAGAGAACGGGATAAAAGCCCGTCATTGTGTCCGGAATACTTAGACTTCGCCACGGGTCGGGTTTGGGTCCAACATCAGGAACCGTACCCAACCCGCGGGTTCAGATCCTAAACCCATACCCACTACCCAACCCACGGGCTTAGACTAGCGACCCAAAACCCGCCAAGAAACCGGTCGGGTCAAAACCCGTGGGTTGGACCCGCGGGTTTTGGCGAGGCCTAGGAATACTATAATACCGAGGAAACTCACTTTAGACTCTGAGAAGCAACTACTCTTCGCCATATGCTTTAGGATTATTCGTAACACTCAGTGTTCTATCCCAAAGATATTCCAGCGGGTTTTCATTGTACCGCGGAATTCTGAACTAAAGCGCCGACCGGGACTTTAGTGCCGTGGGCCGCGGGATTATGGTCTCGACCTAATGGCGCCTTGCCAACGGAACATCATCTTGCAAACACTACACAATGAGAATCGCGCTAATAAGGGTGGCGAGAGAAGTCTGCGCCTGCATCTACCTAACACACTTATATATGTCTGGAAGTATCGTCGTCCGTTAAGCATCTTCCAGTTGCTCCATCATCTCTCACATATCTACGCTTCTAATTCTATCATCGTCTTTGAACTACATTTCGGACCATGTCTTCAACCCACGAGACTGTCCCAAGCCCCGACCTGTACGGCCCTGGCACTTTTGTCGACAAAGAATTTTTACCAGTTCCAGATGATGCCCGTCGGGTCTTGGAGATTTTGGCCAAGGCTACCCCTGGATTCACGAAAGATCCTCACGTGTGGGATTCTGTGACATTTGAGGGACATGCCGAACCCATCATTCCCGGCCCGTTGAAAGCCCCAGTCGTTGCAGCTGCTCTCCATGCAATGTGTGGTATTGTTGGCAACGAATTGTTGGCAGAAAGGGATGGCCAAGCTGCTTATAACCAAAGCGTGACTATTAATACAGACCAAGCTGCAATTTGGCTAGGCTCCATCCTTACCGCCAGGATCAATGGTTCGGACGTCAGCGAGCTGGCCAGCATGGGCAAAGGGGCCTCTGTTTTCAAGCGCGACTTTCAAAAGGGAGTCTTTGATAACCCATTGAGATTAAGAACGACAGCTATCTACCCAACAAAGACAACTGGGGTTTGGTACCAACTTCATGGGTCGTTAAATGCAGACCCCGTCCTACGTGCGATCGGTGTGGACCCGGCTACACAATGTGAGACCCCGGCGGAGGCGTACCAAACAATCCGCGAACAGACACAGAAGTTCACTGCGGACGAACTAGAGATGATTATGGTGAAAAATGGCTTTTGCGGCAGCATTTGCTATACCCCAGATGGATGGAAACAGACACTGATGGGCAAGCGATTGGAACGCCACCCATTTGTTAACTACTCTCGGGAGTCGTACGCCATTCCTACGCCTCCGGTACCTTTGCCTGCTCTGGTAGATAAGCGTCCGTTGGCAGGCATCAAGGTGGTAGAGATGGTGCGAATCATTGCTGGCCCAGTCATTGGAACTACACTGGCGGCATTTGGGGCCGACGTTATCCGTGTCAATTGCAGTGGCCTTCCCGATCTCAATGTAAGACCACATTCCTTTAAAAATTGTCTGGGTTCTCTACAAACTCAGAAAATCCCCTGTCCCCTTTCCTTTCTTTTCGGCAGAGGACTTTGAGCAGGAACTGACAAGTATCATTCGCTAGACCCTGCAGCTTACCCTGAATGCAGGAGTACGAACTGTGGACCTGGATATCAGAAAGGATGAAGATTTGGCACGGTTGCACGAACTTGTGCAGGATGCAGATGTCTTCATACAGGGCTTCCGTCCAGGAGCTCTAGCAAGGAAGGGGCTAGGTCTTACTAATCTGCTTGAGATGGCTGGCAAGAGAGGAAAGGGAATTGTGTACGTTGAAGAGAATGCCTACGGACCTGACGGCCCGTTCTATGAGCGGCCCGGCTGGCAGCAGATTGGAGATGCGGCCTCCGGTAGTTCATACGTTACTGGCAGATCTCTTGGCTATACGGACGGTACCAGTGTGCTTCCGCCTCTTCCCATCTCTGATATGACCACCGGTCTTGTCGGAGCTCTGGGGGCATTGATGGCTCTTCGCGATCGTGCACGACATGGTGGTTCCTACCGTGCGCTGAGCTCCCTGGTGGCCGCAGATGTAATTTCACTGGAACCTGAGGTTGGTCTTTATTCTCCAGATGTGGTCAGAAAGAATGTGGAAACTTTCCAGTGGGGAGTTATGGAGCCGTCACAGTATGTCTCTGAGTTGCTCATGGTTGTGCTGAATGGTTGGAAAATGGTGTACCCTGAGTACTTTTCGCCCGAATCACCAATCATGACAACATTCGAGAACGGCCACTGGGGCCACATGCAGCTACTTAGTCCTGTGGTCAAGCTGGGAGAGAGTGCTGTCACTCCTCATTGGACAACAGGGCCTGTGCCCCACTGCTACTATGATCGCCACATTTCATGGCTCTGATCCCTTGCGCTAATCATCCGAACACTGTCTTATATCTTAATGCAATATAGAAATCCAATTTTGTTTTATTAGTTTGGATACGGCGTGTTTCTTGGATAGGATTTGTACTTGGAGGAGGATATAACTTATGTATTGGAAAACTCGTGAGAGGAGAATTAAAAGAGCTACCTTAATTGTTATTTTAGGACAATAATAATATTATATTAAAGAGGTGTTTCACCGCCGAGGCTCGCAGTTACATAATTAATCGGTATTCGCGGGGCTTGAATTATTCCGAGAACCGAATGGTACGGGATTCCCCCAACATTTTATTTTAATCAAGTCTCTCATTGATTGGGGCTCTACAGAGAGTGGATCAATGTCGACCCACCCGTTCACACCGTTGGACGAGATAATGTCATGGGTTGCCACTATAACTGTTGGGGTGATTGCTCTGGGCAGTCATCGAGGAAGGCTGAGCGGATTTGGCTGTCAAGCAAGGGTGCCAGCCACTGCTGCTTTTGAGCTTCGTTGCCGTACTTGGCGAGGACCTCCATGTTGCCTGTGTCTGGGGCGGCATTGTTGGTAGCCTATAGCGTACATTCTCGGTCAGCGTCTCTTTCTTATCCAAGTTGGTGAATGGTTGCAAGTAGAAAAAGGCTAGAGAAAAAATAGTAGTTGAGGGATGGGTGCATACCTCCGACGCCAAAATTACTCTTACCCAGATATTCGGCCATCAGACCGTATTCAAGATTCGTGAATCCAGCACCCTGGGAATAATGGTTCTTGGGTAGGAACATGTTCCACAGGCCTAGTTGGCGTGCCTTGGTCTTGAGGGATTCGATGACCGATGGGTATGTGTTCCATCGTTGGTCGCCTTCGCCGAGTTGGGTCTGGAAGACCCTCTCAGCGGGGATGCATTATTTTTCGATGAATTGTTCGACCTATATAACCAATTGCGGGGCTTAATTTAGGGTTGAACAGAGGAAAGTTGGAGGGGAGATGATATACCAGGTCCAGGGTCTTCTCGCTGACGAAGGGTTGGGCGATCGAGGGAATTCGTGTGAAGGCCGACATGAGTATTCAGTCTAGCGTGATGACTAATTGAGCTGAGAGGAAGGAAATAAGCAGTTGGTTCAGTTAGTAAGGTAGAGTGTGGAAGGAGGGATTACGAATAAATAGTAGTAGATCATCATACGAGCTGCGAAGTTGTGGACGAAAAGAAGCCGATGGACTTCGGCTCAAACTCAAAAGAACTCCAAGGCCATACAACAACTAATCATTACCCCAGGACAAGGGTACACCCGGACGTCGGTTACTTCTATATTATTATTATTATTATTATTCGAGTTTTAACGTCCATATAGAACCATTGGCTATGACAGGACACATGCTCCTAGGCAGCGGCCCTAGGCCATTACCTCCAGGTGATCCCTTGGACCCCGAGACCCACCGTACCAACTTAGGTGGCCGAGTGGAAAGCTTAGCTTAGTCTAATTTCCCACAATTATTTTCTCCTCTAGGCATTCTAGCGTGGTTCGCCTCTGCCCCCGGAGAGAGAATGCTTAATTAAATATTGTTGCCTTG